GGGGCGGATAGGAATGTCAGGAGGTCTCTATGCTAAATTAACCATCGGTAGGAAGCATCCCTCTTCCTCTTCTACCCAATTCCTTACTGTCAGCAATATTCAGATAGCTCTGATGCACTTCCTCTTTGGCTTAAGTGACCTAACCTATTTGCACCATTCAAAATCAGCGATTGTTGGAGGACAGGACTGATCTCACTTATGGGAAAATTACTTCCATCCCGGGTTACAAATGAGAATGAGTTTAGCTAATTTTAGTATTTGCTTCTAATCTCACAGAGCATCTGAACTCCTTTAATTATTGACCCATATTTACTTGTATCTACTTTTCCAATAAATGCAGAAGTAACTATAGCTTTCCATTTGGTTCTTACTCTGATTGAAGCCTTTATTCTCTCAAGCGACGGAGCAATTCTGTTACCTAGCAGCTGCATATTTACTCATCCAGAAGATGCTTTTCAGATTTCCATCTAGACAGCCACACCTCTAAACCTTTCTGTCTGTTCAGGTAAGAAAAGAAAATTTGCAGTTGTATGTTTTTTTTAGTACATATGAGGAGTAAAAGCAGAGAGCTGCTTTCGTCAGGACGGAGACTTAGTGAAGCAGACAAATTGCTTCTCCTTCTGCAGGAACTACAAAAACCACATTGAATCAATTACTTTATGTTTTTTGATAAAAATAAATACAAAAAACTGTTAAGAATGTGCAACACACCTTCACTTTCTGTGTGCTTTGTTTTTTATTTTTATGGGTTCACTGTTGTAAACCAATATTTTCCATCATCCACAAGATACCTGAAAATTATGCCTTTTCCAGATTCTGATAAGAAGCTGGAAAACATTAAATTTTTTAATATGTGACATTTAAAGACATTTTTAAATGCCTTACATTTTAGAACTTGTTTATTACCGTCTGCGAATTTTAAAAAAAATATGCAAAGAATTCAACTAAAGGAGTAAAAAAGCTGCTAAGCTTAACATAAAACTGGTAAAGTCAGGTTTAAATGTTGGGACTCTACATTCACTAAAGTATTTCAACCAAACTTTAAAATTAATGTAATTTGATTACTTTACAAAATCCCATTTAGTTGTTTATGATAATGTGTTTAAGTAAGACAAACCTATTAAATAAACCTTACATGATGCATTTTCATTAGTTTAAATCAAAGTCAAAGTCAAAATACTTAAATGTCAGGTTTATGTATTTAGAATTAATAAAGTATACTTAGACAAAAATAATAATTAGTGTATTTATTTCAAACACATATATTTTATTAGTTTGAACTGCATAATAATCAGATTCCTTTATGTAATTCAAAAAGGAAACTTTATTTAATTTAAACAAATACTCATTATTATTGATTTTAAGTAAGTATGCTTTATTAATATTCAATATATAAACCCGATTTTTATGTATTTTAAATAAGTATAGTTCAACATTTCAAATATTAGGTCAGAGCAAAAATTGCCAATAAGCAGATAAATATACCACAAACACATTTTATTTATGAGAGAAACTAAGCATCCGTCAGACTGCTCCAGTAGAGTTCATTATGTAGTGCGTGCTGCAGAGAGATAAGCAAACACAGAGATTTAATATGAGCGAGAGGTGGTGTGGGTGTAATAAATCGGGAGGGGACGAGGTAGAGGAGGGGGGTTAATGGGGAGCAGGGAAGATTTAGAAGCAGAAGTTTAGGACTTAATTTACAACAGCAGCGGGTGAAAAGAGCACAGGAGGCATGCAGAGATATTTCTGGAATACTCCTCCTTCATCTATAATACAGTAAGTTAATCCTACATATTTATTTCTACCTTTCTGTGTGACCTCCCCCCATCCTGTTTAAAGCAGGATATCTGTGCCCCTGAGCGTCCAGCTTTACAACCACAGGGAAGTTTGTATTTAGCTCGATCAAATTACATTTAAAGACTATTTTGTGGATTAATTCAAAAGTTTTAACTTTTTCATCCTAAGAGGCTTTAAATATCTTTTTTTTTATATATGTTTTCTTGAAAATGGCTTGTTTGTTCAATCGGGACAGTAAATAAGTATTATTTATTATTATTATTATTATTTAGAGGCTAAAGCTGAAACGAAAAACATAAATAAGAGAGAACTGACAATGAATCTTTTTTCTCTTTACCCATATTCTTGCATTAATCATAATATTTTTACTAACTTTATTTAAGTGGCATGTAGTGGATTGTGATGATTAAAGGCTTGCCTTGCAGAACGAAGGTCCTGGGTTTGATTCCTCGCCTGGGGTCTTACTCCATGGAGTTTGCATGTTCTCCCTGAGCATGCGTGGGTTCTCTCTGGTTACTCTGGCTTCCTCACACAGTCCAAAAACATGACTGTTAGGTTACTTGCCTTCTCTAACTTCTCCTTGTGTGTCTCCCTGCGAAGGACTGGCGACCTGTCCAGGGTGTACCCCGCCTGTCGCCCGTAGACAGCTGGAGATAGGCACCAGCACCCTTCATGACCCCAGCAGGGATAATGCGGGGTGGAAAATTAATGAGTGGATGGCTTTTTAATAAGAACGCATTTGCTGGGAATAATATCCAAAAGAGACTAATATGGGCTAAAGAATCAAGTTAAAGCAGCTTTTTAACTTTTGGTTCTTGTCTTTTTATCTCATGTATATAATGACAAACAAAATGTTTCTAGACTAGTGGGGTCCAATGAGTACAGACTGCTTGAATGAGAAGGAAGCATAACATACATGTCATACATACATGCAAGGAAGACTTAATTTTAAAGCAATAGTTGCATAACCAGGTTATAATTTAGTATGGATTACATTCACACTACAAAGGGTTTACAATTAATTCTACAGGCAAAGATATCTACATAAACCTGACTGCAGCTAAAGGGGGGATGCCTTGGGGGTCTTAAACCCTCGAAAAGGGCTTTGCCAAATCCGTCTCCACTCAACTAGTTCTGATGATTGTTGAATCATTTTTTGTGGTTCGTTGTTTTTCTGATTCAAAGTCAGATCAACTCATGGCACTCCTGTCTTTGTGTGCTCTCATGCCAATCTAACTCACCCTGGACCTGGACATATTTTGTAGAAAAATGCATATCCATGAAACTGCCGGTCCTTTATGTGCAATTTGATTGGTCAGATCAGCTTTGCTTCAGGCTGCTGAAGAAATTAACTAGTGACAGTGTAGTGTGACATAATGAGGTGCTTTACCTGCAGCAGCATCACCTGACAGTGAGTCAAAGGCTAAAAATACATTTGGGCACCTGTGGTACTGTAACTGCGCAACTATGCGCTAAGGCAGACTGGCACCCATATATAGAGAACACCATCCATTTTAGAGCAACAACTGAATCAGCCAGATTGTGGAGAAAAGTGGGTTGTCCTGCAGAACAATCATCACAGACTTACTTAAAAACTTGGTTTGAGGATGTTTTATCAAGCTTTCTTTGACCAGCTATGCCTTTACCATAAGATGCTTAAGCAAGTACATTTTCTAAGAGTCCATCTACATCTTTACTGCTAGTCTTGTTTTAATTTGATAAATAAAAAAAAAATAAAAAAGCATTTTTGTTGGAATGAGGTGCTGGAGAAATGTCATTTAATGAATCGTGTTTAAACCTATTTTGTTTTTACTGTAAACATATACAACACACCTCCCCTAGCCAACAAACTCCTAACCCAAACACATTTTGCTTCACTTCAAACTGCATCCCTGCACATAATCAGGACCCCTCTTATCCAACCAAAGACATAGATGCATATTCAGAAAAAAGGAAATGCAGTTTCTGATTTATGCTTTTTGAGTTAAATCAACACAGAAATGTTTTTGTTATATTTCATCCCATTTATCTCACTGACTTCACATCCCATTGCCTTTAGCTGGTGTTTACATCACTGATAAATCCTAGTCCTCAGAGGTGTCTCCATAGACGGCTCCACTGACTTTGCTTTGTCTGTTTGTTAGGTAGAAGGGAGCCATTGAAAACGTATCAGGGACCCCTGCAGAGGGAAGACAAAACAACACCCTGCCACCTGAGAGAGTCTGAGCTTCCCACATCATGTCTGACTAATCTCACAGTGGCCTGAAAAGGCCCGCAGAGGGTGACGGGGGGGACGGGACGTCATCTGCCAGTTTTCTGTCAGCCTGACGCCCCGAGGAACCTATTTGATAAAGCATTTAACATAAAATTGAGATACTTTAGTTAAGAAATGAAAGAAAAAAATAATTCTATTACAATCTTTGCAATTTAATTTTCTCTTCATTTTCTCTAATATATTAGAAACCCCATGAATTTCCTAAAATATGTTTAAAAGACTTAAATTAAGGCCAAGCCAGAGTCCAGAGAAAAATCAAGTAAACCATTCAAAAATAATAACAATATATTGTAATCACTCCCCCCAACATTTTTTTAAGTTATCACAATGGGATATATTGTGTAGGATTTTGAGGAAATAGAATAATACTGTTGAGTATAAGGCTGAAACATAACCAAATGTGGAAAAAAGTGCAGTGGTGTTAATATTTACCAGAGGCAATGCAGTTTTTTTTTCTGCCAAGAGGGGGAAAACTATTGATTTGGTTAATTAATTTCATGGGAGCAGGCTGGTCTAGATAGCTTGTTTCACATAAACAAAACCATTACTTAACTGTTTTGTGTATTTATCTAAGGTATCCTTGTACAATGAATATCTTTGATATTCTGAAATATTTGAATGCAGCAAAAAAAAAAAAAAAAAAAGAAAACTAAACTAAAGCTTCAAGGAATTAAAATGTCTTTCTTAAGCAGTTAAATGTTTTAAAACTCTAGGTTTGTTTTGTCTACTTTGGGATTAATTAATCAATTAAGTTTCTGTGTTAAATTAACAAAGGGGCATTTTTGATGGGGGTTTTTTTGTAGTTTTTTTCTCCTTTTGTCCTTTGTTCCCATCAGTGTTTCATAGCTGAAGAAAAAATAGAGGAAGATAAACTGCAGCAGGAGAGCAAGAAGACAACTAGCAGGAAGAGAAAGCTTGTACTTACTGAGCACGTAGAGGGAGAGAGCGAGGCCCGCCAAGCAGAAACCCTCAAAGAAACGCAAGGTGCTGAACATGGTGACATTTATAGAGAAGGCGACAGAAAGGCCAAACACCAGCATGAAAAGGGCCGAGAGAATCAGCACGGGGTGTCGGCCAAACCTTGGAGACAGAGACAGAGAAGCAGCAAAGAACTTAAAGAATGAACTAGTGTGATTTACTCACACACATCCCAACATATCGGGCTTATACGTACAAAATTCCCCATCCCCAAATCATCTGTCATTAAATATTATGCTGTAATATCTTAACACTTCACTGGAACTGAGCTTTCCTTTCAACATCTCCACAGATTGTTCCTCTGATTCTGCTTCAGAGATCGTCCTCAACTCTGGGTCAGAAAAGGTTTCACATTGAAGTTTGGACGTCCTCAACTCTGGGTCAGTGGAGGATTCACGAAAATATTAAAACTAGTACCTTTTTCATATGTAATTAGTCGAAATCTCTTCACACTTAACCCAGCAACAGTGGAATTTGTTAGAATCAAGCGGTTTAATGCAGAATTTTGCACTTTTACAGTTTTGCTTCAGTGAAGTTTCAAACGTTTTACTATTTTTTTTAATATTTTCGGTTTCATAATGGAAGTTAAATGACGGAATCTTTGCGCTCCTAGAGTGAGCCAAGTAGAGCTTTCGAACATTTTACTTTTGGCAAACAACTTTTGCTAACTCGCTGAATGTTTAAACTACCCATTCGAATTATACATCAAAACGTAGGTAATTTTGTCAGGATTCAGGAAATGGAACTCTCATTGGTGTGGGATTTACAGTTTTCCTACAGTTTGGACTAGACCACCAAGACTAATGTAGCCCACGTTGTTTTCAGGACACCACCTAGACAACCAGCGGATGAATGACGACATGCGGCCAAACATGTCATCACTGGTCAGATCAGGGAGGGGACCAGAGAAAATTACCGAGTCCAACATTGTTTTGGCAAACTTACACACCGAAGCAACACTAATTTTAGTGACTTCCGATCGGCGTAACCGGGTGTCATTACCGCGTGAATACCCAGTGGGTACGTCATTGAGCGGGGAAAATCGGATAGAAATATGGATGGGTTAGTGCTGACCAGTGGGCAGATATCTACGACTACGTTTTCTGCGTACGGTTACCCAATCGCATAGCTGCTCAGGCAATGTTAGAGGACAACTACGTGGGGCTTCTTGGTGGCTTAAAGGTGGGCCTATGTTAACACCTGGATGTTCAAGCTAGGCTTTAAAGTGCTTCTGGACAGTAAGAGTTACTTAGATAAGGAGATATCACAGAAAGAAAAAGACGGAGAAGCCTGAACAACAGCTCAGCAGTCAAAACAGCAAGTGAACTCAATACCGCAGTGTGGGACTCTCTAGTGACATAACCAAAAATCACAGAATGGCAGATCACTAAAGTTGGTCCACTTCATGTGGGGCAGTAACATGATGCCCATGTTTAACCGTTCTCCCAAGCCAGACCAATCATATCTTTCCTGCTGGAAAACCCTAAACCCCTGTGAAAGGATGTTTGACACACTACTGTTCATCCAACTTAACAGAACGAGATATTTTAAGCTGCGTAAGCAGGCAGCAAGGTACCAGAAGAAAAGACTAGTGATATTACATTTCTACAAACTAGTAAACCAATCGAGGAGGTTTTAAAACCCTGTGGGCGAGCCAGAGCCCCTGGAGAGAACCCACAGATGCACAGTCACAGCACACCAACATCACAGAGAAACACAGCAGGTGAGCTTTGAACCCTGTAGTGCAGTGATGCAGCAGTGTTAATAACTATGCACAAGCTTTTTTAAAGAATAAACTAGTGTGATTTACTCACACACATCCCAACAAAGTGGGCTTATACGTACAAAATTCCCCATCCCCCAATCATCTGTCATTAAATATTATGCTGTAATATCTTAACACTTCACTGGAACTGAGCTTTCCTTTCAACATCTCCACAGATTGGTCCTCTAAATCTGCTTCAGAGATCGTCCTCAACTCTGGGTCAGTGGAGGATTCACATTCAGGTTTGGACGTCCTCAACTCTGGATCAGTGGAGGATTCACATTGAAGTTTGGACAGCTCTGAAACCTGTTCTATTTCTGACTCACTGTCTTGTGAGTCTTGTGAGTCGGTTTCCTCAGATGTCTCACTTGCGATGGACAGAAAGTTGTTCATGAGCGTCGGGTCTTTTCTAAAATAGGGCTCAATATGATCAAGATATTTTTTCATATCCTTCATTTTCTTCATGATGGAAGTTATTTGCTTTTCAATCTTGTGTTGTTTCGTTTTTCCCAAATAAGCGAACCATGTAGACATCCCAGGTTCCAAGTTTTGTTTTTTTTCCTGAATCTTTTGTAAAAAACTTGCTTCAGTTTTCTCCAACTCACCAAGCAATTCTTGAGTCTCTCTGTAACTCTTATCCAGTTTAGTTTGAAATGACAGTTCTTTTGTCAAGCTCTCAACCTTTTCCATCAATATCTTGTTGTTTTTCTTTAACTTTTCCTCCTGCGCTTTTGCAATTTTGAACTGAAGCTTCATTACAGTTGTATCGACTAACTGTTCTTCTGCTGTTTTTGCCTGCTGCTTAAGTTCAGCATTTCTCTGACGTAAAGCTTCTACTTTTTCATCTTCCTGATGTTGTTTCATCCGGAAAGCCTCCTGGGCTTTGAGTTCCTGTTGAAGCCCATGGGCCCTTTTTTCCAACTGTTTGCTAAACTTCATCTCAGCTTTAATCCAGCTGTTAGCATCACATGTAAAGTCTATTTCAGGTAAATCCCTTTCAAGTTGCTCGTACAGTCCACAGAGGTGTTGGACGTTTCTCCTATTCAACTCACGCAACTCTTTTAGTTCAATATACTTTTCCCGGGAAGGCATTTTGTGATTTCTTGCAGTTTAAATCCAAAATAGCTTTGAGGAGCAATAATAGTCAGCTTACCGCTGGGAGCCGCAGCTAGAATGCTACCACCACCCTCAAGGAACATAGAAATGATCAAAGGAAATCATGACATCATCAGTGAATTCCACACCCTTTGACTCCGCCCACATTTTTGTGGACTCCGCCCACATTCTTTTTGTGGGCGGAGTCAAAAAAATTTTTTGTTTACACGGGTGTAAACAAAATGACAAAATAAATCTGTCTAAGTCTAAGTCTTAGGTGGTTGGCCAAGGCTTGGAGCCTTTGTTTGGCACTTTCCAGTGCTTCAGTTATGGGCATCTGGCTATACCTCTTGGGTACTTGCTTTTTCATTGTACCTCTTAAAAAAAGAGCAGAACTGCAGAGAGGTTAGATGAAAGATCACTCTGTGTACTTGTTCAAAAGGAGAAAGGGGTCATTAGGTTAGCAGGTCAGGTCAGAGCTGCTGCATTGTTTCCATTGCTACTTATCCATTTCCTCCCACGGTCCAGCTCAGGTGGTCCCCAAGCCTGCAGACGTGACCATATTGAACCAACATCGAAAGACCAGACAGAAACCTCAGAGAACAACAACAGACTCTTATTTTTATTGGTATCTAAGAGAAAAACACTGATTTATTTATTTATTTTTTATTAATTTAAAACTCTTCCCGTGGGAATTTGAGGATTATGTAAAGCTTCTGGAAGCGGATCTAAGAACAGCTGGTTAGAACACAACTTTAGAATAAATGTTTACTGAAGAAAATATGACCAAAACAGTTAACTTTCAGCAAACTATCTAATAAAGAATTAAACTTTCACCTTATAATCCAATTCCTGCATTAAAAAAACATTCATACTGTTCTATGTTTCAGCCCTTAAATAATCCAAATCCTGTTTGGACAAAAAAAAAGTCACTTTTTATGTGATGAGCTGATGATTATAAGGCTGTTTCTGCTTGTACCAATGAGGCTATCCCTTTGTATTTGTTTATGTCAAGTCTTTAAACTGGTAAAAATCAGTCATTAGATCATAAAATCAATGTTATAGAGCTCTGTTTTTGCAGTTAAACGGCATAAACTATTGAACTACCCATTAGCTGAGTAAGAATTTTTAATATTAAACTCCTGTGAGCCTGCAAACATGAAGTCATGAAGACAAGTTACATAAAAATATGCTGGTTCACAGCAGATAATATGGTCGCCTTAGCTCTAATAAATCAGAGGGAGCAAAGGAAGGCAGCACCCTGAGATACAGGATGCACCTGGTCTTTGTCTTCTTGATTTTTATTTTTGCCAAAAATCCAACTGAGAAAACGCCTAGGGATGTATGTTTAAATTTAGAAAGACCAGCTACATCTACAGTCATACTGCGTATTTAAACAAAACAAAAATCAACCTTTGAGAGCTTGAAACAAAGCCATGTACTCTTGAAATCCATCTCAGCAGCATTTGATGTAGTATATTGGAGGTAAAGTAGAAGGAATGGTAATTCTATTACTTTTTTCCATTGCTTTTAATTGACAAAAGTGTGTTAAAAGAAGTTTAAAAAGCAGTAAGAAATGGTAAAGAGTGGTATTTTAACAGGTTTCATCCTTTCGCAACTGATGAATGTGATTATTAATCCATTTGTATCAGTGCAGGTTTGGCCTTTACTGGTGTTTAAGATAATTTAAATATTTAAAACAAGAAGTAAACTTGTTAACAAAGAAAACCAGCTCTTTTTTGTGTAACATTACAGAACCAAACAGCTGTGAATGCATGCAGATGCTGTCCCAAAGTTGACCCTCTGATTTACAGAGGGACAGCTTCCTGAACCTGAGTTCTGTGGTTTCACATATTATTGGTTTCAGAACAAAAGCTGATTTTTTCTTTTCTTTTATGTCTTGTTATAAATGAATCCAAGTGGGGGTGGTGCTAGCAGGCTGAATTTGAATAAAGTAACAACAACAGCTAAAAGTTTCTTGTATAATTCTGACATTTGGGAAACAGAAATAATCTGTAGGTCTAAAATTAGGAAGTGTCTGGTAAGACAGAAAAAAATTTGAATTTTTTTTTATCGATGCTAAATATCTAAAATGTTTTAAGTGGATTTTATTTAACCATAACTGAATATTTTTTTATTATAAAGTAGTTAATATCAATCAATGGTAGGATGCAGCAAAATACATAAAACAGGTGCTGCTGCCAATTCCCCGTATTTGAATTTTGCATTTAAACTAGTTTTTATAACTGAATTAAACAGGGAGGCATTAATGCTGTAAAAAAGTAAATCTTATTTGGGACTAGATACGACTAAATGAGTTAAAAGAAAATTATTCTGGTTCCATGAAAACATTTTAGAGCAGACTTTATTCTTTTTGACACTTTAATAGAGTGGACCTTACCAGTCAGCCATGACACCCATCACCAGGTAGCCAAAGATTGAGCCCACCAGCAAGGAGAACTTGGCTATGTGCACCTTCCAGGCCGAGTCACACACCAGGTGCCACTAAAACACAAACAAGGAGCAGCTTTAGTAAAGTGGAAATTCTCCAGGAAAAGGAAAGTCAGCATCAGAACATGCAACAAGGGGCAACAGCAGCATAGGATGAAAAAGTTCATCTTCCAACCCGAGGGTTGCTGGTCCAAACCCCAACTTTCTGTTCAGTCACTGTGTCCAAAACACTTAACATTTTAGTCAGCATTGCCTATTAATGGTGGGCAGAGGGAGCCTCATTTCTGTCAAAGTGACTAGAGTGCATTAATAGGCCAGTACCTATAATAATAATAACTAACTTGAAAAGTACAGGCCTTTTGGCAGGACACCTCAGGTGAAAACCGAAAACAAACATTTATCATTAGATCTTTGGATTATTCTGAAACATTCACATGGAAATCTATTATATCAAGAGAAAACATTAGCATGTGTTGGAATAAAATAAGGGCAAATGAAGGGAAAAATGAAAAGGTGTGAGCTTGACCACTCTGACAGCATTTACGTTTTCCTCTCATGGGTTAGTGAACACACCACTGAGGCCCGCCTCCTCTGAAAGGCAGACAGCAGACAATGAATCAAATGTGAAGGTACATCTTGTTCTATATCTGCTAAAGAACTCTTAAATCAGTAACCCTGCAGTCCATTTTACGTGTGTAGACACTGATTATTATTTAGAAAACTCCCACCCAAGCTTCCTTTAGTTGCTTTGCATGATTATTTTAGAAATAAAAATAGCCTCTGGTGCAGATATGGAATACACCTCCAACATTGTTTTTTTTATGCTGAGTGAGGAAATCTATGTTGCTGATGCATGCAAAGCAAATATTGGTTGCATTCATTTTAAGCCGTGCATTTTATAAAAACATTTCTCCAAACTCAACCAACTTGAATCATTCACCATCACTGCGCTGCATATGGCTCCCAGCTAAACTTCTTCCTTTCATGTTTGGTCTTACAGTATATGTCCACCTTCTCCAACATGTTTGATGCTTTCTTGAATTGAAGCCGATAGGAAATAGGGATTCTTAGTGCTTTCATTCAACCATGTCTTTCTTTATATTATCATTCCATAAAGTCCAGATTTCCTCTCTCACCTAACTTCTCTAATCTAGGCTGTGGTTCAATACAGTTCCTGCAGAGTTACAATTGTCTTTGCTGGAATCTAAATGCACACAGTTGGACTTTATTTTCAATATGTTGTTCTAGATTTCCCTTACAGCCATTAGAATTAAGGATTTTTCAATAAATTATTTTAAAAAACAACACATTTTTAAAATTATCTTATTGTTATTTTATTACAGAAAATCCAAATAAAAATGGTTGCAAAAATATGGTGCATTAAGCTGTTTATTTTCAGAACTGTAACCTTGACGCTTGGAGCAATGCCTTTTAGTTTTTATTCTGCCATCCTAATTTGCAGCATTTACCTAATTATTAATGATGTTGATTTTCTATAAAAGCTTTCAGCAACCCTCCAAACCTTCAGCTGCTGCTTGTCATATTAAGGTCAGTGGGTAAGCTGCCAGTCAGCTGTTTGTTCTACACTCAGCATCGGAGCACACTGATGGTGAGGATGAGGAACAGAGCGTTACCTTGGTAACCACATTCTGAAGGAGTCCCGTCTGCAGCTCCAGCCTCTGCTCCTCACAGGCGCACAGCAGTCCAGTACCGTCCCCGGGTCCCTTCGCGGTGCCGTTGGCCCCGAGCTGCAGTGCGGGCGCCCCAATGGCAAGCAGCGGTGACCCGGTCCAGTTACTATAGTTACCCGCGGGCATCACGCACGTGCCGTTAGGCTGCGCCAGCAGAAAGTGGTCCGAGAACTGGCTGAAGCCGATGAACAGCGCAGGTATCCAGGTCAGGACCACCAGCTGCTTCTGGTGTCTCCCGAACCCCCCCAGAGATGGCAGAACGCACCCGTCGATGTGCGGCAGCATCCGGAGCGCGGGTCGCTCCAGCGGGGTGAAGCCATTCTCGGGCGGGTGTTCGTGTGCCTCCGGTCGGCTGTGCGCCATCGTGACCCGGGCACAAAAACACAGCAGCTGTGCGCAACCGAAGCCCCTCCACCCCCTCCCGCTTCGTCGCCCCTTGCGCACCCTGTGCTGAACCCTTTGGCACAAAGGAATCCCAGAGCGCAGACGAATCCTTTGCGTTACATACAACAGCAAGAAGCCAAAGAGAGCAGGGTCCACCGAATCACCGAGCAGACACCCGCATGTCGAGAGGCTGCGTCAGGAGGAGAGGCTTCTGGAGAGAGGCGGACTCAGCCGGGCTTTGTATTCCATGAGTGCAGCTCCTGAATCCATCCATGTGGGGCTGAACCGTACCAGGCCTCGGGGAGCGTCTGGCGGGGTGCTTAAAAAAACGGGGTGACCTTCATCCTTGTGCGCCACAGGTCTCACGCGTGTCCCCACGCTACCCTACCCTCCTGCAGCTGCAAATCATCCAGATCCCCAGGTACCCACCCGTTCTCCTTTAACCGGCGTGTCTCTGTGTGTAATTCAATGGGACTGTGAGCCAAAACTGGGTTCGGAGCAGATACGGAGGGTGGGAGCAAACCCCGCCCTCCATCAGTGGCGCTATTCGCAGCGATTGGAGGAGCTTTAAACAGCGACTGCGCCACTGACTGACATCTGCAGGCAACAATAGCGCCCTTTGTCCAGCCTATGAGTATTAATGCTGTTAGGATCATTCAGTCATTCATGTTTTCCAACGAAGCGGGAGGATTTAAAGCGCACAGACTAACTGCTGAAGGTGCTTTTCTTTCTTTTTGCGTGTGCTTTTAGATAGGCCATCCCGCTGCGCCCTAAGGATTCAGTAATGCGTCATATGCTCCTTTCATAACCTTCATATAAATAGATTTGTGGGTGGTTTGGGAAGACAATAGTGGGGTGGCTGTTTTGGATGTTGCTCTGCCTTTTAGCCACAAGAGGGCGACAGACATGTTTGCTTCCCTCTGTTACAGAAGTTGGTATCCAGACTGTGGTTTTTAGGCTAAATGGTTACTTCACAGCAAAAGCTTTGGTGAAGGTTTAAATAAAAGAGGAGAAATTCAACATGCTGTTGCTTCTTGAACTATTTTCTTTAACAGATCCCATAGGTGGTAATCACTCAACCTGTTTACGAATTGAATAAAAGCTGTACACATGGAGGCTTATTATCGAATGTCCAGGTGTGGATTGTCAAACTGGACCCAAGCCATCTAGGTTTGCTATGTGAAGGTGTTAATCAGTTGAAGGTAAAAGTCATCAAATATTGTTTTTTTTTTATAAAGAAAAAAACACCTTAACCCCCCCCCCCCCCTTTTTTTTATTATTTATAGACTGATTTAAATTTACACAGATGATAACTTGCTTTCTAGAAATGACCATGAGCTTAAAATAGTCCAATAATGTTGGAAAGTTTTAAGTGTGATATTTATCTCAAACATGAAACAAAATGAGTTTGGATTCATTTAAGCAGCAGAATACCCATTTAAGCCTCATATTCAATTAAATTTATTTATATACTGCCAATTAACAACACACAATCTAGTCATTTTACAGAGACAATAAAGTCAGATTGGTTAAAAAATGTTATCCAAGGAAACACAGCTGATTGCATTGAGTCATTGCATTGAGTCATTGAGATTGCAGGATTCGCTCCTCCTGAATGAGCATGAGTAGATATTTGTTGATAATTGCTTGCATTTTGTTGCAGACTCCATTGGCTAGCCCTCGCACCATGCTTGCATTCGGCAACAGTAGAGAAGAAAAACTCAGTTTTAACAGGAAGAAACCTCCAGCAGACACCAGGTTCACTGTGAGCTGTTCTGTTCTGCCGAGGCCGACTAGGGCTCAAGGAAACAGAAGTAGAAATACAAGAGGAGCAGAAAAGCACTGATCTATAAAAAACTTTCAAGGCAAGAAAAGGTGACAGTAAATGAGCTTCACAAGGGGCTATAACTACAAAAGACACAGTTAAGGCAAGCTCTGAGACAGATTTCATGTCAAAGGAATGAAAGAGAAAACATACAGTTAGTCACAGTAAGAGCTGAGCCTATTGCTATGTCTAAAAAGGCCCAACTCTATTATCTATAACAGGGGTCTTCAACGTTTTCAAAGCTAAGGACCCCCAAACTGATGGCGAGATGGAGCGGGGACCCCCTAATTATATATATTGTATGAAATTGTGTTATATCAAACTGGTCCTATAGTCACTCTATTACATATGGAGTAATGTAACGAAAGTAATCCCTCCCTGGGATTATTAAAGTATTTCTGATTCCTGGTTGATGGCACAGGTGTTGTGAATGAAACGGTGCCCAGGATTGAAAGAGCTCCTGTGTGTCGTTGAATGTGTGCATTGATGACTGAAAGACATCTTCTGCTTTCATTTATCTGTTTACTACAGTGTGTTGAAGTCATTTTAATGTGTATGTAAAGATATCTTAATTAGTGCAAAAAATTGCAGGAGGGAATACAAAAAAAAGTAATCAACCAAGACTTTCGCGACCCCCATGCAGTACCTCCCCGGACCCCCTAGGGGTCGCGGACCCCCTGTTGAAGACCTCTGATCTATAACATAGAAAATCAGAAAAAATAAAGTTAGAGGTTAAGCTAATGGAGAATTTGACAATATAGAATAAAACAGAATGATAAAAAGTGCTTCCCATGTCCTCCAGCAGGGTAAGCCTGCGGCAGCATAGTCATATATCTCAGTATAATCTGAGCCACTTTATCAAAAAGGAACGTAGGGCGTCGATTATGTTAGGAACATAAGGCACAAACAGATCTCTAATATACGATTGAGCATGGCCATTTAAGGCTTAATATGGGAGCAGGAGAATTTAAAATTATATTCTGGATTTAACAGGAAGTCAATTAAAAGAAGCTAGGATAGGAGAAATATGATTATTCAAAACTTTGGCGGCAGCATTTTGTATCAGCTGAAGGTTTTTAACTATGGATTTGGTCTTCCTGATAGTCAAGAACAATAATCCAGCCTTGAAACAACAAATATCAAATACAAACCTCAGCATCGTCTGGTCACCTTCGGATGAATCTGAGAGAGTGGAGCTGTTTGCAAAGAGCTTTGTACTCTGTGAAACACCGAAAACTGCTATTCATGGCACGCCCATCACATGGTTCAGCAGAGATGAAAACCAGCTCATTTTAAATGAATGTTCATGATATCTTGTAGGATCTAAGTAACTTTTTTGAAGGTCACAATTTAGGGTTAACCCAAATAGGGCTTTGGTAAACTTTTCTTTAAGGTTTCTGGTGAACTTCTGAAGATTTTCTTTGTTTTGCCTTTTCTTTCATATTTTGGCTTCCTAAATCTATTAACTCTGACCAAAGAGTCATTTAGGTGTAAAAAGACTGCAGAAATCAAGTTTAATGTGGTGCTTAAACCTACCAGGTAACTGAGCAAAGAACTAGGAATTTATTATTTTACAAACATTTCAGTGCATGAATTTTAGTCAGGTGTGGAATAACAGAGATAAGTCTTCTTCAAAAAAATGTAGACATTTTTATTTTTGAAAATTTGCCAAATGCAAACGGGAAAAACATTAAGTTCAAAGTTGTTTTATACAATAAATCTCATACCATTTCATTTCCTTCTGCTGTCCCCATAGGGGATAAGCGGCTTTGTAGAAAATGTTTTGTTTTCCTACCTCTAGAATTAACCTCTTGTTGTCCATAGCAGTAAATAACTCTAGACACTCCATGTCTGAATTATCTGTGATGAAATGTCAGAGGTTCTGACCTAATACTTCCAATGTGATGTGGTTGTCTTTGGTTTTTTCTAATCTATTAGATGCCTTTTTTTTTCCAGTCTTCCCCTCTGACTTTTTTTTTTTTTTTTTTTTAGAAATGCAAAATGCATTAAAAAAAATGTAGTTATGCCAATGACATGAGAAATGTTGAGAGGTTACAATGCTGTGTGGAAGGACCACTGAATGTCCTCAAAGGGAGGTTCTGGGAACCATACTTTATCGTTATAAGAGGCCTATGAAAAAAAAAAAATTTTAAGACATATATTTACAAAATAAATACTTTTCACTGACACCAGAATTCTAACACACACAAAAAAAAAAATAAAAAATCCCAGCTGCTTCACACTAAGCTGCAAACCTCTCAAGGGAGAGCTGTAGATCATGCCTGATGAAGCCAATAGAACCACATCATGTGCAGATAATAGAAACAGGACCATAAGGCCACTGAAATTGACCCTCTCAATACCTTGGCTGGCCCTAGAAATTCTGTCCATTAAAGTTACTTTGGTTCATGATGTTAAATCATCTTGCTTTGCCAAGGCACACAGCCCTCATCAGAGTTGAAAAATGTGGTCAAGGTCTCCCTGACACCAATGGCCGCCTTTGATGACCTGTTCCCACCCATATTTTGCACTGCTGCCATGCGGTGCCCTAATTGCTCTGCTTCATTAAGGATTCTCTGGTTCTCATTTGGGTCTATCAGGAAGTTGTGCAAAATGCATGCCGCAGCAACCAGCGTTTCGACACGTTGTGGTTGCAGGTTGATGTGACGAAAGAAAATCCTCCACCGTGATGCGAGAATGGCGAAAGCATTTTCCACCACTTTCCTTGCTCTCGAAAGTCGGTAGTTAAATATTCTGTTTTTGCCATTTAGCCTCACTTCAGGGTAAGGCCTCATCAGATACGTCTTCAGCGGGAAAGCTGCATCACCCACCATGACAAATGGTACATCACCCAGATGTGTTGCACCGGGCAGAGGTGCACTGGGTGGCACATGGAGAGTTCCACTTTTTATGCTTTTCGCCAGATCGGACCCAGCAAACATCCCTCCATCATCGGTTCTCCAAAAGTCTGCAACCTGAAAAAATCGGAACCTGCAGTCAGCATCCACAAGTGCCAATAGCAAGATTTCAAAAGTTCTGTCATGATTGGAGTTCTGACAGCCGGCTCGTGGCGGTGACTGTATGGAAATGTGTTTTCCGTCAATGGCGCCGAAGCAGTTTGGAAAATTCCACTTTTCCCAGAAGCCTTGTGCCACTTCCTTCCACGTGTCTTCTGTTGGTTTGGGGAGGAAACGCTCCATCATTACCTTCTCAATGGCTGAATAAACCATGTGAACAGAGTTTCTCACAGTGGAGTGACCGAGCCGATAGCTACAAGCAAGGTTGACCATGGAGTCCCCAGAGGCCAAGTACCTGTGTAGGAGAAATAAAGGGTCACATTTTAAATAAGATAAAAACGTGGGTCTCTTTGTTTTCTTATTGAATTTCGCAAGTCTCAGTGGAGAAAATTCAGGGCCTCAGTTCATATTTTCACCACTAGATGTAGCTGTGGCACCAGAGATGTAAATCTAAAACTTATTTTAAGTGCTCTGAGTTCTATTTTCAATACTTCTGTAGTATTTATGAGGGTAAAGAAGTAATAATATTTTATATTTAGTGTTCGTTTGAGTAAACTAAAAATTGTAAAGCTGCTAAGTTTAGTTTAAAAGCAAAATGACATCTCCTCAAGACCCCATTTTGACAGCAACTGATGTGTTTTCAAGCTTACTGGTTTCTCCACCAGTAGGCTCATGGTATTTTTATTCTATGTTTTGTAAATAACATTTTATGTATAAATTGAAGCAACTATGCAAATATTCTGTACATCCTCTATATCAGGGGTCGGCAACTGTCACACAGCCCCCTAGCAGCTCCCTGCAGCTTTTTAAAAAATTTATGAAAATGGAATAAGATGGATTTTTTTCTTTTGTTTGTTTATTCTAATATGGTGTGCATGAAGTCAAACAAACATTCATTATGTTTTCCAGTGCTTTAAAAATGCAGTTAGTTTTGTTGCAAGCATGGAAAACTGTACATGTAGTGCTCTTATACAGGTAAGTACATTCTCTTCCATTTTTTCCACAAATCCTCAAAATAAAAATAAAAACACCAAGGAACACTGGTGATGGAGGATGTGGGATTACGAGGTTAGAGAGCTCTGCTCTAATGGATGTCAGTTCCTGGTTGGTTCCTCGTGACTCCTCCAAACAGAAACACATCCACCATAGAAAAGATTCCTTTATCGTGTTTCTATAATTTCATTAAAGCAACAAAACCTAATGGACACAAACCCTGCGATGAAGCGGCAAGCTCCACGCAGTGAGAGCATTCACAGGTCCTCCCTCACCCCATGCTACTATGGATTTTAAAATTATAGCACTGAATACTGTACAGGAGAGTAGTCACATGATGCATTTGCTCCATTAAACATTTAATCATGAATGCTTATTATAACGCACTTGCAACCCGTGTTGCCATATGAGGCCTATATAAGACTTTTTCATTTTTGCGGCTCAAGATGGATTTGTTTTGTTTTTTTTGGTCCAATATGACTCTGAACAGTTTGGGTTGCCGACTTCTGCTCTATATGCATCACTAGTTCTATAGCATACTTATGGTTTAAACCGAAGAAGCCACAACACAGTAAATATCAGTCAAAGGACCTCTAATGTCTTTCTGCCACAGACATCTTTGTGAAACAGTAGAGAATCAGCCAGTGGCATCCAAAAGGAGTGACAATATTGTCATATGATGTCATTCCTGCAGCAAGGTCTGTGAGACTTTTACATGTACTGAATACCAAAATCAAAAATGTGAAACATGTACATGCATATAGGGCTGGGCCACTAATGCAATGTTCAAATCGCAGAGGTAGTAAATTTTAGTCACATTACATTTAACAAAAGTGAAACATTACATTTTTCACTCCAGCCTTTTAGACGGTGAGTGGGTTTAAGCGTACCACCAGAAGAGAGAGTAGCAGCTAACATGCAGATCCATGCATTTAAGAAGTAAGCACTTTTTCCAAACAAAGGTTCCAGTGTAGTCTTGCAACAATGGACTCTGGGCAAGCAAGCTATCTAAAACTCAACGTTTGAGATAAATGTGATGATTAGAATTAATAAATACTTCTATAGGAAGGTGAAGAGTATAATCATATGAATTTTACTTCTTCATACCCCTTTTCAGACATAAGCACTAAATTATATATGCATATACAACATTAATATACATGTCATTAATCATGCACAATGAACCCTAACTTGTATTTGTCACAAAGCTTTTTTATTGTGTTAGCATGGTTTGTAAATTTAGAATGTAGTAAGGAAGCTTTTAGTTTTAAAAAGATCCATTTGTAAGTTTTGCTACCTAACCCTAATTATATATATTGTATGAAAATTGTATTATATAAAACTGGTCTTATAGTCACTCTATTACAGATGGACAAATGTAACTAAAGTAATTTCTCCCTGAGATTATTAAAGTATTTCTGATTCTTATTCCTGGTTGATGGGACAACACGGACACGGACCACCTGTTGAAGACCTCCTGTTCAGAGGCTTAGCCAGAATTTTTTTTTAAGAGTGGCCCGGCAATAACCAATGCATAGAAAGCGCATAGGTGCCAGAACCTCAGGGTCAATCTATACTGTTCCTACAGGAAAATTAACGACACAATATCTATATTTTCCACATAAAGACCACTATTGTTTCCTACAGCCTTTGCTAAAAAATAAACGCATATATTTAAACATCCGTGCCTCCTGGATAAAAGGTATAGTGGATAAAATCCTTTCAGGTTTGAGTTCTGGGGCGAACATCTTTTCCATTGTCATTACCTACCTACTTTTATCAACAACCATTCTGCATAAAATTTATATTTACAAGTACTAATAATCTACATAAATTGATTATTTTATAAGTTTTTATTAAATAGTTTTTTTTATATATGATTTCACTGAAGATCTTAGATGTCTTGCACAGAGACACATCATGTTCTCTTTACCCCATAAAACACAAAATCTAGTTCTGCAAAGAGCATGAATTCTGTACTTATCTTTAATGTTAGTATATCAATGAGCATAATTAACCACAGTGTTTTTGTTCTCAGGTAACTGTTGATATATGAAAATTGTTAAATGTTTGAATATTCCACTTGAGAGTAGTACTGCTGCCACCATCTGTATCAGAGGGAAAAAATGGTAGGGGTGGCCAATGATTGGTTAAGGCCACCACTGGCCCCCCATCTAGCTCCGCCCCTGCTTTTAGTGCATTTGGCTTATGTATTTGTATATATGTTTCAGACCAACCTTAGTCCAACTGCCAGTCTTTGTTTGGGCTCTATAGGGGCTCTGAAAGAGGTTGATTGCCGCCTGAGCTCAGGACCAACTAGAGACAGCAGTTCGTCCATCTTCTCTACACTCATCCTGAAGTATTCCTGATGGCGATTCCTGTCCAGCCTCAGCTCTGCCACAAGGTGATAAAAATCCCCTCTCTGCTTCCTTCGCAGGTTGAAGGGATGCACCCAAAAGCGCCTCTTTCGTTCCCTCCTCCTCCTCAGTGCGAGAAGGAGAACAATCGCGAGGGCTCTTTTCTTGTTAAGTGGCACTACATGTCACACATAAAAAGAATTAGGTTAACTGGTGAATGTATAACAATAAAAAACAGTCACACATCTTTCATGAATATGTGTCAAACACGAGTATAACAGCAACACTTCTGAAATATACAATGTTTATAGACGTAGCTTTCTTACCCATCGTAGAGACATAAAGGTCACGTCAAATGAGGAGACCGTGCAAGAAAAATTTAAAAAATTCTGTATCAAGTGAGCCTCTCCGAATTCATAATAGTTACTATCGCGTGAGCTCACGACTTCGCGAGTGAGCTTGCTACTCTCGCGCGACCTCGTGATCTCGCGATTCCAGACGTCAGTTCCCGCTGCTTTTTTCGCCTGCAAGAACGGACCTCACTTTGAATTCACACAGACTCCGTCAATCCTCCTTTTTCCATCCGTTGCCTAGAGAAACCATTCTAGACTCTGCTGTAATCAACACTGACTCCGTGGTCCTGGGACATGACTAGGAGCAACCTTAAGTCACAGAAATGGATCGAGGCTATTTTTCACGGATGACGGAGCAAAATGCGTAAATTTCTCTAAAGAAAACAGATCAAGACAGCCAGGAAGTCAGAAATCGGAAAAGTAAAGCGCATCCGGTGCATTTCAAAATAAGATACACGCAATCAGATCATAAATCAAGAGGTGAAACATAAGTCAGGTGGAGGGTCTTAGAGATTGGCAATATGGACGACGAGAAGTTGATTTTGGAAGTGGAAAAACACAAAATTTTCTATGATGCCAATCATCCTTTTTACAAGGATAACGGCAGGAAGGAGATGGAATGGGGGGGAGGTAGCAGCAGTCATTGGAATGGAAGGTGAGTTCATCCTGCTGATTATTTATAGAAAGTATTTCAGCCTTTCTAGTTTGCTAAATCAAAATTACTTTATCAATTTCTTGTGGGAAATTCCTTTACTTTTAGCACAACCATTTAATGAAGTACAATAGTGCTAAAATAAAATATTATAAGACAGAATAAAATAAGTATCACTCACATAGTAAAATTACACCCTTCCCATATAAACAGTGTAAAATAACTTATAGAAATTCATTAAGAATAAAATCAGGATCTCAGAATATACAATTATCAGTATTTACAATGATGCTGAGTATTTCAATGACTATTAATGCACATGGCCGGGTTAATGTGCGTGGTAAAGTAATGAAATAAATAAATAATAATTGTTTCATTACAACTAAGACAGTTATAAACATTAATTCTGTTTAGGTTAAAGAGCCTAATACAAAATTGACAATTAGACAAACTAATATTCATGTATTTGAAGGCAGTATAAAAGTGTTTAAAGGAAGGATTTTAGAAACATTTTCATGGTTTATCGTATAATTGAAAACTTTTCTGAAAATGCAAAAAAGACGCTTAAAAGTTTCAGTTAAATCAAATGTAAATTATATTGTAAATTGTTTTGACAGGTTGCAGAACCTCTAACCTTCACAGGCAGATATTAGGTACCATACTTTAATTTTGTAAATGGTTTTTTAAAATAATTTTTTTATATAAATTTCTTCACCTTTTTTGTAACTTTCCTTATTCATAAAACAGAATACACATAAAAAAAATGTTTAAAGACACAACTTTGCGACTGAAGATCAGGTTATAAACAATTACAATACAATTCTAACATAATAACAAATCAAACCTAATAGTTCGCTAATTACCAACAAACTACACACACATTGTCTATAGAGTCAACAGGAGTTCCAGATCACCATACATCAGAATCTAAAACTACTAGATGGTGGCTGTATTGGAGCAACTACTACCATTTTTCCATCAAAGTGTCTTCTTTTAGTATGGGGATGAAGCTCTCTATTAGTTCTTCTGAATGGCTGAACACAACACCTTGTGTAAAAGCAAGGTTGATCCAGAAGGGTTAAGTACCTGTACATGGCAAGAAACGTTGTGTGTTAAATTATGTTTCTAATACGTGTTTCTTCTATTTCTAGCTGACATTTGTAAGGCTCGCTGGAGAACTCTCCGGGATTCCTTTGTTAAACATGAAAGAAAAAGCTCTGTTGGAAGTGGATCCACAACTGGGACCCAAAAGGAATGGAAATATAATGAACTGATGTCCTTTCTTACGCCTTTCCTGCAGCCAAGAAGGTGTGTGAGACGCAGACATCGTTGATACCTGGGGTTGTTTCAACTTAAAGAATTCAGATTCCTACTTTCGATTTAATTTCTTCTCGATTTCCATCCTTTTAAGAGAAAAAGTCGTGCATATTTTAGTAATGTATTCCCAATGAAGTTTAATTCTATACCATTTTACCTTTTATAAACGTTGGTATAAATTATACATTTTTCAACCAGTATATGAACAGGAAACCTACCTCTCAGGAAACCTACCCGAACTCTTATTTAAATTGTATGAATATTTCTTTTCACGAGGTTACACTTTCATATGGAGCTTATTGAAAAGCTCATTAGGGTGAGTCAGCTGGAGGAGAAACGGCTTAACAGGTGTTGTGTTAAGGAAGGTATCCATACAGAATTTATTTCCTCAATTCCACTCAACTGTACGTAGAAGCAGTGATGTTTTAAAATTATTTTTATTTTGTGCACAGATTTAAAAAGGAAATTCCCTACTCTTTCCTTGAGTTAATGGGTTTAAACAGGATTTGAAACAGTTCCCAAATGAAATAAAATATATAAATACGGTTACGTTTATCAATCTGGCAGATCAAAAAGAATATTTTTCAATCTATCAAAATCTCTAAGGAAAACATAAGACAGAGTATTAGGGCCTGGCTAGAGATCTATTTATTTTTTTACTTTGAGAATAAAGTTGCAATATTACGAGAATGAAGTCATCATACAACAACCCATTTGAGAAAGAAAGCTTGGAGATCCGACCAGCATATGACGGCTAACCAGCAGCACCAAACAGCAACCTGAGAACACTTTGACATCCTGCCCAATTTAATGCTGGTGCTAAAAGATTTCCTTATTTGTCAAACCAGAGCCAAAGTATAGACTTAGACAGATTTATTTGTCATTTTGTATACACAAGTGTAAAACAGAAAGAAATTTCGTCAAGAACAGCTCTCTAGACAAATTTTTTTTTTTTAAGTGCAGCCTTGAAAAATAGTAAGAAATATATATATAAACAATAATATAAACATATGATTGTATATTTCAAGTTCTAACAAATGAGCATTGTTCAATTCAATTCAAATGTCGAGCATCATGTGAATTATAACTTCACATGATGCTCGAAATTCTTCATTTTAGGGAACACGGTGCTTTTTGTAAGAGTTTTCATAAAATGCAACTTGTTTGTCGTAGTTTTAGGACTTTATTCTCGTAATGTTAAAAATTTATTCTTGTAATTTAACCACTTTATTCTTGTAATATAACGAGTTAATTTATGTAATTTTATCACTTTATTCTCGTAATTTTATTACTTTATTCTTGTAATTTACAACTTTATTCTCGTAATTTTATTACTTTATTCTCATAATGTTACAAATTCATTCTCCTAATTTTATGACTATTCTGTGACTATTTGTGACTATCCTCGTAATTCTATTACTTTATTCTCGTAATTTTATTACTTTATTCTTTTAATATAACGACTTTATTCTCATGATGTTATGAATTTATTCTCGTTATGTTAAGACTTTATTCTCGAAATAGAAGAAAAAATTTTTCTAGCCTGGCTCTAATACTCAGTCGTAAAAACAAGTACGTTTTTATTTAAGATATTTACAGAGAGACCAAATTTAAAAAGCTCCGCTTTTCCTTGAAGAAGCGCGCCCTGAATGCAGGGGGAAACATTCCCACGGGGAGCATATCGCGGCACAACACCGGTGCATCGAGCCAAAGCAGTATTAATCCATTATTCCGGGCCTCCCTCTAAATGAAATCAAATCAGCCCACAGTTAATTAATGTGACGCTTCAAACTACCGCCGCACGAGATGTACTTGCAGCTGCGCGCACCACTACTGTGGATTCTTCTTCGTTGGTAATCTGGGGGCTTCTACTTCCGGTCGGCGGACTGGGCATCGAAATAAGGAATCAAAAATGAAAAATTCAAACCATTCAGGTAGAATTGAAAGGTGAGAACCGGTTACAATCGAGTCTTGGTGCGCAATTCTATAAAATCAAAACTGTAATGTGGTAAATTTAGCTATTATAACTAACTTTGTATTCTCTACTATTGTAAATTGCTTAAAATTGCATGCAAACATCTTCCTATGCAATCTGTTACTATGATATTTAATGGGATATTTTTTCTCTCTGTATTTTTTTTTTTTTACTGTTTGTTGCAGATCCAAACGCAGCTTGCAGGCTTCAACTTTAGTAGATGTCGATGGAGAGAAATTCTGGACCCCTCTGTCACGAGCTGGATCTGAGGAGCAATCTACTACCCAAGATACTTTGCAGCATCAAAGAACTGCATCATCACCCTCTCCTCCCCGTAAGTCCCTCAGCCCCAGTAGGAAGGCTTCAGAAACACGGGGTCAACATGGTGCAAAGGAAAGCAGGAAGAGGAGCTCCATGCAAGTTGCAGACCTCGAGGAGCGAATCATTTCTTTTTTAGAAGAACCACCTACGAAACCACATGTGCCTATTACTGAACACGATGAAGCATATCACTTTGCTCTCAGCACTGTGCCAATGCTTCTCAGTTTAAATAAATGCAGACGACGAAGGGCCAAAACCGAAATTCTAATGACTCTAGACCGCCTTAATGAAGAGCAAGAACAAGAGGAAACAGCTGTTCCACTTCAGTATTGATATGGACGTCCAGGTTAAAACAAATACTTTTCTAATTGATAAAAAGGAACTGCTGTCCTGAATCATCACAGTGCGTGGAAATCAAAAGATGACCTTCCCAGAGCTCCCCATAGTTCATCTGCATGACGGCGCCAAATGATGAGGATGGTTTAATTGATTACAAGCTGTAAAAATTTCATTTTCAGGAGACTGACAATGTCATTTTTTTGTGAGGCCAATAAGACGATGAATCATTTTAAATTGTTTTCGACACCTCGCTTTTTAAGTTTAACTTTTTCTCAGTAATATTTTCATTTAGCTTCATTCATTTGTTTTTAAAGCATCAAGAATCCAATGAATATATGTGCATATGGTTTAACCAAAGCTACGGTTTGTAGAGAGATCAAAGGATCCTAATTTGCACTGCTACCAGTCGTTAAAAGGTTATAAAACAGTTTACAAACAATAGAACGACTTAGATAGTCATAAATAAGTCAAGTATTTTGCCTTATGCTAGTTCTGATGTTGTTTCTGGTTCTGTCTTGTTTTTTCCTGTTAACAGAGACCTTAAATCAGGGTTTTATTAGCTTTAGGGGCTGGAGAAATCCTCTTCGAACAGAACCTGTTTATGTTCCTCTTTTTGTGAGTATACATCTCACACAGCCAACCAGTACTTCATCAATCTCCTTTTTGTTGCAGTTAAAACTACTTCCAGTTGACTTTCATCCAAGCACAGATATACTGCAGATTTGGATGCTTATCGAATAAACTTTGAGAAAACAAAGAAAACTCAGTTTTGTGGTCATTTTGCTTAAATTAAGCCTAAATTGTCCAATCTGCTCCCATTTTGTACAGTGTAATGTTTATGTTTTCTTTCAAACACTAATATTTGTTCTGAAGAAAGGCCTGTAGCCCAGTTTTTGACCTCGCCAATATTCTTGTTGTTTCTGTATGCTGCCATTGTTTATTTGCTTTGCTTCTGACACATCTACGCCCCCAAAGTATGAGACAATGAAAGGGATCTCTAGTTGTCTTACATGTATTTAATTCGTTGACTCTTTCCGATCTTCTTCTTGTTTTGTCTGTTAAATAGAAGGTGGCTGTTTAAAACTTTGTAGGGACCCCACTTATAAAGACAAAACTTCCCACTGGCTGAGCTTCCCACATCTCACAGTGGGCTGACTGTGTTTGTCACTAGTGCTGTGCCGATGCCATTTTTTGGCCCCGATACCCGATATCTGGCTGTGCAGTATTGGCCGATACCATACCGATACTATCTGTTTGAAATTGATGTGTGTGTATGTGTATATGAAGAGCTGCATACTACTTGGATGTAAAACAATTGCCATCATGGCTTTGTCAAGCTGCTGTCTACCTTTGTGAAGCAGGAAAAAGACTAATATGAAGTGAATCCACTAGAACTTTTTATTGCCTAACTGAAATGGGTGACAATAGTTGAATAAACTTTTGGCTCCCAGAATGGAATCGGTGCCCTACTCACCAATACCACAATTTTAGTGCAGTATTTGGGCCCTGGCCCGATACTGGTATCAGTGCAACACTATTTGTCACATAGCTGAATATCCAACACAAGACAATGAGAAAAACAGAAACTACAAAAGCAGGTTTCATATGATTATATTGGGGGAATGAAAATGCCATCCAGACTAAACTACCAGATAATCCCCTAGTTCTACAGTTACAGGACTGTAACAGTCAGCCCACCATTACATTGACCCTTATCCACCTCACAGGGTTGTGGCAACCTATAACCACTGTGAGCTCTAAAGGGCGATATATGTAGTGTATATTCCATCCATCCTTCTTCCGCTCATCCAGGGTCGGGTCACAGGTGTAGCAGCTTCCGTTGGGAGGCCCAGACGTCCCTCTCCCCAGCCACTTTGGCCAGCTCCTACGGGGGAACCCCAAGGTGTTCCCAGGAGGCATCCTAACCACATGCCCGAGCCACCTCAAGTGGCTCCTCTTGACATGGAGGTGCAGCGGCTCTACTCTGAATCCTCCTTGGTGTATATTCATTCCCCTTTACTTTGATACCTCAAAATAAAACTTAGTTCAGCCACTCTCTTTCTCATTTTTATTCCAAGATTGCCCAGTATTTATGTATTTAATTACATCTATATTTGCACCTAATACATGCTTATGTTTAGAAACATATTTTTAGATGCAAATTCATTGTCATTTGTTTGTCTGCGCTTTAGGGTTTGTTCTCCTGTTGCTCTCTACTTATTCAGCGATGATGTGTCATATACTTTCAAAACATTTCCCTATCAAAATAGATTAGTAAGGTGGATGTTTGTTTTTTTTGGAATTCTTTCTGCCTGTTAACCACTAGAGGGCAACTGACCATCACATTATGCACCTTGAATCTATGCAGGTCTTAATCAGACATGTAGAGAAAATTAAAAAAATGTAAAATGAGTGCAAAGGCAAATTAGATTTAAAGGTTTTTGAAAACCGATAACATTTTTGTTTAGCTGGTCCAGCACAAGTTTGAGAATTGAGATTTTCACACATGATCATGCTCAGAAGTTAGCATTCAGACTGTAGGTTTTAGATTAAAGGGTGTGAGACAGAATTACACGGCTTTAATGAAAAGAGACCAACTATAACGATTTTATGTTCTTCATCTCCTTCTTTTAAGATGGACCCTACCAGGGGGTAAACATCTTTAAATAAAACTTTAATGATGTAAAAAAAGCTTCTGAACATTTTTTTTAAAGAACGACTCCTTAGTGTGTAATGCCTTTGTCCAGGTTTGCCCAGTGTTGTTTATGAATTAGTTCACTTTAATTTAGTGTCATTGTCGTACATATTTGTTTTATTAGGATGTGAGATGAACAGGAATTGTGATAAAAAAACTGAAGACCATTTAAGATGGTGAAAAGGTCAAGAGGGATACTTAAAATTCCTTTATTATGAATTTATAGACACATCTTAAAATGTAAAGCTGACAGACTGCTCTATAGAAATGGCATAGAGTGAAAAATAGTCTACTTCGGTCTTTTGTCCAAGATCAAGTGTAGTATCTGTTCTTATGTGTTTATCTGATACGTCCCCTACCTGTGGACCATAAATTAAATGAATTTTTTGGAACAGGGAGATGGAATAGGGGCTTACGCCGTCCACTCCATGCATCAACCTGGTATTGCAGTACTTCTTTAAGGGAGAGTGTCAGCCCATTGGTTAGGGCATAAAGCTTGGAATCCTGTGTTTGTGAGCTTTAAACCCACTCCCACGGAATGCCACTCTGGCTCTCTGAGCAAGACCCTTAACCCTGATTGCTCTCTGGGCGCCCAACAATAGCAGCCCACTGCTCCACAAGGGGATGGGTTAAATGCAGAGGTAAATTCCTCCAATGTAAGATGAATAAAGTACAATAAAAAAAAATGTAAATTATTATATTCAAGTTTGATCATGTAAAAAATGTGAGCAGTACACATATACTAACACAAAGAAGCCCTGATTTATTTTAAATAATGGAGCTGTTCAGTCCAGCTCAAACCAGATACTAACTTCAGCGGTCTCTAAGAGGTGTCAGATATCACAGTCTAGGTCCGCGGTTCTCAAAGTGTGTGGCGCGACCCACTGGTGGGGAATTGAGACGTGACAGGTGGGGCGCGCCAAGTTCCGGTGTGTGTGTGTGTGTGTGTGTGTGTGACTATAAATGTAGAACGTGTGAGAGAAAACTGTCCTTATAGCTGTATGTTGCCGCTTTTTAGACCAATCAAACCCACAAAGTAATCATTACTAGCCTACATGCAGTCTAATTAAAAGAACATTAGATATGAGAAAAATTTCACCTGGAACTGAAGTGCCAAAATAATGATTGACGTGACGTCGGCATATTATTTGTAACGGAATAAACTTTCGCGCCCCAGTGTTGCCAACTCAGCGACTTTGTCGCTATATTCAGACCCCTCCAGCGACTCTTTATCAAAAAAGCGACTAGTGACAAATTAGCGACTTTTGGAGACTCTTACGTGAAAGCACGTATCGTTCCTTTTCTTGTCCTCCAGCGGCAGGTGCTGCCGTGGGGCGCCTCCCCCATCCCAACCCCGTTCTCCCCCGCTATCGCAGGAGTCCCTCTCAGCGCTGCAGAGACACAGCATGTTTACCCTCAGCGTCCAGACTGCAAATAAAGCGCACATGCGCCGGGATTGGCGGCGCAGGTTGATCATAATTAACTGAATTTGAAATATTTTATCTTAAATAAATAGGACCAGTTTATTGAAATGACGTCTGACTCCACCCTGAGGCTCAGGTTTAATGCTCAGACTCATAGTAAATTCTGGTTTGGAGTGGAGAGGGAGTATCCACTCATCGGGCAGAGAGCTGTGTGCATTCTTCTTCCCTTTGCCACATCATATCTCTGTGAGATGGGCTTTTCAACTGTTGCTTCACTGAAAACAAAATACAGATCTCAGCTGAACATTGAGCATGACTTGAGAGTGGCAGTATCAAGCCTGCAACCCCATTTTGAGAAACTGTGCAATGCAAAACAGGCTCATTGCAGCCACTAATGCAGGGATAAATACAGGTGCTGGTCATAAAATTAGAATATCATGAAAAAGTAGATTGATTTCAGTAATTCCATTTAAAAAGTGAAACTTGTATATTATATTCATACATTACATACAAACTCATATATTTCAGATGTTTATTTTGTTTAATTTTGATGATTACAAATGACAACAAATGAAAATCTCAAATTCATCATATCAGAAAATTAGAATATTGTGAAAAGGTTCAAAATTGATGGCCCCTGGTGCCACACTCTAATCAGCTAATTAACTCAAACCACCTGCAAAAGCCTATAAATGGTCTTTCAGTCTAGTTCTATAGGCTACACAATCATGGGGAAGACTGCTGACTTGACAGTTGTCCAAAAGACGACCATCGACACCTTGCACAAGGAGGGCAAGACACAAAAGGTCATCGCTAAAGAGGCTGGCTGTTCACAGAGCTCAGTGTCCAAGCACATTAATAGAGAGGCGAAGGGAAGGAAAAGATGTGGTCGAAAAAAGTGTACAAGCAAGAGTGATAACCGCACCCTGGAGAGGATTGTGAAACAAAACCCCTTCAAAAATGTGGGGGAGATTCACAAAGAGTGGACTGCAGCTGGAGTGAGTGCTTCAAGAACCACCACACACAGACGTATGAAAGACATGGGTTTCTGCTGTCGCATTCCTTGTGTCAAGCCACTCTTGAACCACAGACAGCGTCAGAAGCGTCTTGCCTGGGCTAAAGAGAAACAGGACTGGACTGCTGGTGAGTGGTCCAAAGTCATGTTCTCTGATGAAAGTAAATTTTGCATTTCCTTTGGAAATCAAGGTCCCAGAGTCTGGAGGAAAAGAAGAGAGGCACTTCATCCACGTTGCTTGAAGTCCAGTGTAAAGTTTCCACAGTCAGTGATGGTTTGGGGTGCCATGTCATCTGCTGGTGTTGGTCCATTGTGTTTTCTGAGGTCCAGGGTCAACGCAGCCACATACCAGGAAGTTTTAGAGCACTTCATGCTTCCTGCAGCTGACCAACTTTTTGGAGATGCAGATTTCATTTTCCAACAGGACTTGGCACCTGCACACAGTGCCAAAGCTACCAGTACCTGGTTGAAGGACCATGGTATCCCTGTTCTTAATTGGCCAGCAAACTCTCCTGACCTTAACCCCATAGAAAATCTATGGGGTATTGTGAAGAAGAAGATGCAATACACCAGACCCAACAATTCAGAAGAGCTAAAAGCCACTATTAGAGCAACCTGGGCTATCATAACACCTGAGCAGTGCCACAGACTGATCGACTCCATGCCACGCCGCATTGCTGCAGTAATACAGGCCAAAGGAGGCCCAACTAAATACTGAGTGCTGTACATGCTCATACTTTTCATGTTCATACTTTTCAGTTGGCCAACATTTCTATAAATCCTTTGTTTTTATTGGTCTTCAGTAATATTCTAATTTTCTGATATGATGAATTTGAGATTTTCATTTGTTGTCATTTGTAATCATCAAAATTAAACAAAATAAACATCTGAAATATATGAGTTTGTATGTAATGTATGAATATAATATACAAGTTTCACTTTTTAAATGGAATTACTGAAATCAATCTATTTTTTCATGATATTCTAATTTTATGACCAGCACCTGTAGACCTGTATTGCCAGATGGATTTCACTTCTTTTCTTTTATTAACAGATTGCAGAGTGGCACTTTAATTTTTTCTATCTTTGAGCTTGATACAAATTTTGACACAGCTGCATTTTTATTTTCTTTATTTTTGAGCTTGCTGTTATTTGATGTAGATAGTTTGTATTTAGATACTACTTGTTACTTCAATAAAATTGGAACATTTTAAGATTGTTGCATATTTCATTAGCATTGTGTTGGGGCGATGGGGACAGGCGGGGCTTGAAAATTCCCCCTTGTCCAAAGTGGGGAATGACAGAAAAAGTTTGAGAACCGCTGGTCTAGGTGAATGTGAGAAAATACGCATTAGAGAGAAAAGAGCTGTTTGCAAATAAAACTCGCTTATTTTTGCTTTGGCACCACAGCGCCACTTACAGGCCTGGCATACATTTTGCAGCGTTTTCATGCATTCGTGTGGACGCTCACATTTATTTTACGTCTCCGTCTTTACGGCAAACGTTTTGGAAAAAATCAGCGTTTCGTGTTCGTTTTGACTTCGTGTGGACGGGGCCTGAAAGATGCCAAGTTTATATTCAGGGCATGGCTGACGGTGCTGCGGATAAATGACAGCAGCTCTTCTCACAGTTTCTTTCCAGTCCTGTTTTTTTCTTTTAGTGTGGGGAGGAGATTCAGAGTAAACTATGAATGCAGCTTTTACTGTTAAGGGATGCCAACCACACCCATCCAGAGCTGGCTCTCTCATCACCAAAGACCTCAGGTAACCTCAGCAAGCATGGAAATGTAATTAGATATGCCTTGACTGAATTAAAGAGGTTTTGAAGTTTTATATATATATATATATATATATATATATATATATATATATATATATATATATATATATATATATATATATATATATATGTAAAAAACTTCAAAACCTATATATATATATATATATATATATATATATATATATATATATATATATATATATATATATATATATATATATATATATATATAAAACCACATTTTATTCAGGAGATAGGCACCAGCACCCCTTGCGACCCCAATTGGGACAAGCGTGTCAAATAATGGATAGTTGGATGGACATTTTATTCAAAAACTAGGGAAAATAAAACCAGTAAAAGCTGCAGCAATACATATAAGATGTGCAACACAATGGTGGCGGCTTAAAACATAGAGGAAATCAGCAGCAACTGAATGCATGTAGGCCTTTTAATGTAACGAAGAAAACTTCCTGAGGTCCAAACTGATCATCAGAGTGAGGCATACCGTATTTTCACGACCATAAGGCGCACCGTACTAAAAGGCGCAGTCTCAGTTATGTGTGCCATTTCTGTATTTAACACACACATAAGGCGCACCGGACTATAGGGCGCATTTTTTATATACAGGTACATGTCCTCTACTACCTTTAAATACCTCTACTGCGTATTTTAAAAATACAGCGGGCCCAAAACTGAGTATGACTGTGCTTTATTCATGTATTTATTACAAAGTATTAATCAAACCTGCGAGCTGGCCGTGAGACAGACATATCGCAGATGACACAGCTCTGTGATCACTCCTAAATTAACTTAAAATCCTGAAACCTGCCGACGGAATATGTTCGCTTTTATTGCCGGTATCCTGGTGCCTGCAGTTTAAATTATTTAGATGAAAAACACCTGCCAGCCGCCGCGGTGAGGCTGCTGTTGAAGGGATTTCTCTGTCGGTGCACCGCTGGTATGTGGGGGTCTGAGCGCCTCCAACAGAAATAGATAATCTGGATGAACTGACTGCAATTAAGTTTTCAGGTGGCCTTTCTCACTTAAAAACATATTAAAACTACTTTATTCCCACTGATCACAGCAAATATAGCTGCAAGATTTAGATTATTTAGATGAAAAAACACCTGCCAGCCACCGCGGTGAAGAGGAGGAGACCCGCCCAGAGGCTGCTGTTGAATTAAGTTTTCAGGTAGAAAAATAGAGCGGGAGCAAAACTGAGTATGATTGTGCTTTATTCATGTATTTATTACAAAGTAT